ATCCATACCTTGGCAAGAGTTACATTCTCCTGAGAATCCTTTCATACACGTGCACTTCAATGTTCCATTAATTTTACGATAGTATGTGTAGGGTCCACATAAAGGAAAGCGAAAAGTGTTTGTCACTATAAATATTAATAAAATTAAAAATAAAATCAAACAGAGATTTTAAACGAAACATATTCTTCCTCAAAGAACACAATTTCTCACTGAGTATCCACTATGACGTACCTAGCTAGCAAGTTTGCTATGTAATGTTGGTATTTTTGGTGTTGGCAAAAATCGTAAAAACAAAACAATTAAATAAACGTTGAAACTTAACAGAGAATGAACAAATTTGCTGGCTGTTCGGGATACTAAATTAAGATGTATCTAAAGAAGTTAGGTAATTGAAAATGTTCAGAAAATAATCAATTCATCAATGGTTCTCGCAAAATGTGTCAAAGCTCATGTATTTTGACTTTGCTATGTCTTTTTTATTTAAAAGTGAAAAGAATTAAAATTTAATCTCGAAAACCACGAGAGTACTTCGTAATTGTCTCAATTTGAACTGTATGCACAAGGAAAATGAAAAGTTTCAAATCTAGTTTAATCCAAAGATGTCAAAGTTTGAACTCTGTTTTGCAATGTACTAAAACTTTAGAAAATTTGATAAATATTAAGCTCATCGCACAACATACTCAAATTGGATGTTTTTGTCTTTCAACCTATTTTCATGAATTTTTTCTAATTTAGGACTGATTACAAGCCAGAGTGATTGTTGAAATGATGTAAGAAACAATAAAGACTTAAACTTAACACCCAAGAAGTTTGGCAAGAATAGACAAACGGCAAAAACGTCCAAATTAGACACTTTGCACTTTGAACTTAAAGCTTATCAAATTTTTTATAATTTTGGAAGGAAGAACAACCGTTTACTAAGGCAATGTACATTTGAACGTTTTAACGTCTTTCTATTTTATGAACATTAGCGTGGGAGTTTTTGCAAGTCTTAGATTATTACGTCAAATAAGTAAATATTTAACTACCGTTTGAGTCAGGAGTGATACTGTGTATAGCTACAGCCAAATCAAGATAACCGTTGTTTACAGGAAGAAAAAATTTACGTCTCGTACGTTGATCTGTTGTGTTATGGACACTAACGACACTTTGTCCGACACTAGTCATGATATAAATAAAATCCCCAAATACTGCCATGGGACCTCCTGAAGTTCCAAAATCAATTACATTACGGGAGTAGTAATCACAAGAAAAAACATTTCCGTTTGAAACTCGCCAATAAATCTTCTCTTTAGCCATGTCAAGCGTTAGATCATGTGCTATTGACTGAAGTGAAACTGAAAGAATATGATGTTTATTTGCAGTCATGTTCCATAACCATAAGAAAACTTCTGTACTTTCTGCCAAGAATAAATACCTTAATAAAAATATTTGTATTGTACATTAGTTTTCTCTATACGTACTGAGATACATAAACAATAAACAGGCTAATATATGCAAGAAAGGAAAGATAGAATTTTTTTTTTTAATCTAGACAAAGATGTTGTCAAAGTATTCAGAACTACCTTCATATATAGACGGTTTAATGTAACATATTCATGAAATTTGATAATATAGCAACATAAAGCTATCGTAACTAACAAGAAAAGATCATCTTTATCATTTGAAATCTCTCTTTTAAAAACCGAACTAAAATATATGAAGTAATTAAACATTGCATGTGATTCAGAGCATAATAAATGTAATATGTTATTTTTATTCACATAATTATATGATTGGTATTGTCTGAGATTATTGTCGGAATGAGTAATGCTGTAATTGTGTAGGTAATTGATAATACTGAAAATTAGCTGATGCGTGGAAATTTTGTTAGAATTGAAAATTCCACGTAGATATAAAGTTAAGAAAGCTTTGTCATTTCAATTTCAAGCTTTCTTAATTTTTCAGTTTCATCTTGCATGAAAAGTAGCAGCTCCTTGGATGGATCATAGTCTACAAATGTCTTTAAAAGAGGTATAGCTTCACAAACATTGTCTTTTGTTGATACTTTTTTCCAATTTGTTTGGACAAACGATTATTTACAACTATCTTAACATTCTCTTTTTAATTGTCAAATTTTTTCATTGTTTTTCTAAAAATCAGAAAAAGATTGACACTGGAGCTAGCGCTATTGGTATCATTTGAAAATGTTGATTCTATCGCCATGTCATGTTCGTGTTTTTAAGAATCTCTTGATTAGACAAGCTGCAAAAACTACTTGAATACTATGGCCTTTACTTTATCGAAAATGTTTGATGCAAATAGCAGTTTTGATTATCATCGCATCATATTTGCATTCTCCAATACATTTCTATATTATATTATGCATTTGAGTAACAATAAAGTCCATGTCTTCTTGTCGTTCATTTTACCTTTCCCCGAACTCTTTAAATACTTTCTCGTAAATACTATCATTCTTTTGGTTTTTGTGTTTATGAAATTTAATTTTTTCTTGTAATATGATAAAAATTAATGCCCACATAAAGTTTTAATTAGAGCCATAGAAAATGACCAAAGTTTGTAAAATGGAATTCATACTGACATTTTTCCTTAGTCAAGACATATTCAGGCAAATTATAGTTTATAATGAGGTGTTAAGACAAGATATTGTATTTACAAAAGGTGTTAAATTACGACTTAAGAGGCGGTGTCACATGGAATATTTGATAAAGAAGTTGGGAAGTAAAATATACCGAAGCTTAGAGAGGTTAAGTGGAATGGAACTTTCTTGAACGATGAGTGAAGACTTGTATTTATTTGTAAGAAGGCTCTCATGAATGGAGAGTTCATATAATTCGTTAGAAGAGGAATTTTTTTTAAATTCGTAAAATATTTATAACATATTCAGAAAGTCCTCGCTTCACAGGCTTTTCAGTCAATTTCTTTTTAATCCCTAACTTGGTTGTTATCTTCAGATTCATCATCAGTTGAGCAACTACAGATCTAACGTTTGCCTAAATTACACTAAAAAACACTGCATGAACTAAAGGTAGTGCAACGATTTTCAATTCTGGTGATTTGATTGGATGTGTGATTGGATTTATTGAAGTGTGGTGTGCAGACACTTAATTTGCAGCTCTTGACTTTTCAATATACTCCGCCGTTCAATGCAATTTAAAAGAAGGCTTGAAAAACTTGATAGATTGATTTTTTTTTTAATTGCCACATTTTTTGAAAACTAAAATGCTTTTTTATATTTTTAATGTAACTACGTGGGAATGTTTGCAGTTTTTTTATCTTCAATATAAAACGAAAAGTTGAAGTTTTTACGTTCACCACCTTCGTTAAATTTTTTAAAACTTTATTGCCATTTCGTATTGAGATTGTTGCACATCTCTTACACTGCCTCAAAAAGGGTTAAAGTGTATGAAAGGGCACAGCAAAGCAACAAACAATGCTCCCAATCTGTTGAAATATTTTGTGTCGGGCATATCTTATTAAGCATAGGATTACCATGGAGGCGTCAAGCAAATTGCACTTTCTGACAAAGAAAAGCGCTGTTAGGTGGCCAGCCGAAGCCAGTAATCTTATTAAATGTACAACACCAAGTTGCACAGTGAAATTGGACTACTTTTTGTTTGTAGGTTGAGGCAAACCAGTGTTCTGTGAGTATTTGACTAAAGTTTCATCGGTAAAGTAATCATTTAATATTTTATTGCAGATTCCATCTCTCTGTTTTATTTCATTTAACGACTTCATCAATTACAAACATTGTTTTCTCCGTTGTTACATTTTTGTCAAAGCTCTTTGGTTGCTCAACATAAATATCTCTGTCGATTTTTGCAATTTCAGGATCTGCTTGTTCTTTCTACTGCGTGTGTGCTGAGTAATCACACGAACTGAGCTTATCCTTGCAGTTGATTTGAAATGCCTCATAATCACGCAATAAATTTTGCTCGCCAAATCTCCTTGATTTTATTGAAAAGCTGTCGTTTGTTTCTTTATACACAAAAAATACTTAATATTCGCTCCCTCGGAAAAAGGGAGTTTTGTTTTCCCTCGAAAATCAATATTCTTTCAATTCTTGTACTTTTAAATAACAGGCCATAATACGGACTTCAAAAATTCAACTTTTCTATTAAATTAAAATGCCGTCTCTAATAATGAAACTCTTAGCTTACTTAAAAAAACCCTCCAAGACTTGACATAGTTTCTTAATTTTAAGTTTACAAGTTAATAAAAATAATTTCAATATAGCCTTACCCATGTTTTGAGTCAAATGCAATGCTCGAAAATTGTAAGCCTGGTTGAAGCCTCATAACACTTGTATTTTCCTTTTGCAAACACATTTGGTAGATAATGTTCGTGGAGTCAATGTAAAAGATACGACGACCAATCCAGTCAACTGTAATGTCACGAACAGAAATATTTTTCGCAAAAATTTCGTTTCTAGTCAAGTCAAAATTTCCCCGTTTGATGTCTTTGTCATCAATGTAGTAAAGCACATTCTCAACTACATCAATTTCGATGTCATTATATCTTGATGCATTGTCAAATTTATTCTTACTGGATCCATTAATAGCGCTGACATGAATATCTCCAGTAAGAGAATCAACAGAGTATACTTTATCAAAGCTCAAAATAATGAAATATGGCTTTGGATAAACATCTAAATATACAATAAAAAAACTATAAATAACAACGACGCGAGTGGATTAAAAATAAACAACTTTTTATAGACCTTAAAATAATAATATTTGGTGAAAGACCACAATAAGTGTTTTTAGAAAGAGTTTTTCACTGTAGAAATATTACTAATAACTGAAATTAGATTGGCTGCATAACTTGTACCTATTATTGTTGCATATTATTTTTAATGCTATGAACAAGATACTATGAAAATTTAACAAATCTAAAGATTATACCTTTGTAAAAACACATTTCTGTTTGCATTTGCATCATTTCTTTGTTGTATTGTTTTACTTCCTTGCATGCAGTTGTGTTATCGTCATTGCCATTTTTATCAACGCAAGTTTCCATCCATTCTTTCACGTTGTCTTTTAATGTCTCTAAGCTTTTCTTGCAGATTGATATGTCGTCATTACCATTTACTATTTGGCCACGAATAGACAGGATTATAAGAGTCCCAAGAAACGCTTTTGTTGAGCTTGATATCATCTTTATTTTCTATTTGTTAGAAGATGGACGATTATTAATTTCTTTAAAGATTTCGTAGTAAAAAATTTACTTTTTTTATGAATGGTTTATAATCAATATAATCATATAATCAGTTTGTTTTTAACTTTTTTGGGGATGTATAAATCAAATATTGATTTCTATAATTATGTGACATTTTAACTTCCTTCTCCAAAACGTATTTTCACGTTTGCTTTCAGAAAATTGATGATGATTTAATATTGTTGCAATAGATTAGGCAAATTGTTCATTATAACGACTCATGCTTACAACAATTTATATAAGTAGAGTTCACCTGCGTAGAACGTGTTTTTTAGAAATAGATATAAGGTTTCTAGGAAACGAAAGCATAGAAAGAAATAATACATTTCAATGTCCACTATAAGGAAATGACGCAAATTATGAAATACACCAAGAGCAGTTTGCAAAAAATTTAAAATGGGTTGATTTCAAATTTGCTTATGTTAACTCAGTTTACCAGATGAATGGGAAAAACGTATTGCTTAACTAAGCCAGCAAAATTAAATGCAAAATAATCTGTTGCTTCGTGTTTAACAGACTCCCTGGCCTCTCTGTAACTACATGCCGTCTAGTTACAGAAAGGAGGCCCTTTAAGCAATACATGACACTTTACAACATCTGAAAGTCGTATAGAGAAGTTCGACTCTCATAACTATATAAGTTCTGAATTGAATGAAATTTATGAGCATTTTAACAGAGCTGTTAAAGTAAAAAAATATATAAAAAACTAAATTAAGGAATTCTAATTTGAAGTACAAGAAGTTTTTATTTCTTCAAATATTTTGATTCAGACAATTAAAAGGCACTTGCCATCTTCAAGGATATTATTGAAATATGGAATAATCGTAGCTGAAGAAACAAGAGACAAGAAATGTATCATTTGTTTGGCGTGCATTTCTTTCTTTTTTTAATTACTTCTGTATTGATTCTTAGTGAGGATTTGCCCATTTCAATTTGTTGATTTATGTACCTTTCTTTCTTTATCATTTCCCTCAATCATTAATTTTCGTTTTAATGTCCAATCAAATATTATTTATCACACATGCATTTAAGTTTTAGTTTACTATCATTCTCATGTAAAAACGCAAAACTCTTTGCAAATATTTTATATTTTTAAATGTCTATGATAGTTGGAAAACATTTTTTTGTTATCTGTATTCAGAACAAAACTACTTAACGATGGTTGCTTCAAATATTTTTGATGTAGCTACGATTTCCTCTGGCGTATCAATGGAAATATGATATAATCCATTTCCAGACATTCCTAAATATCAATTAGTAGAACTTTACCATTGGTTGTGATCAATCAATTAGTTTTTGTTTTCATCATAAAAATAAATATGATGTGATAAAAAGATTTGCGAACTGGTAAAATTTTTCATAGAGTTATAGACTAGTCAATTTACCAGATGGCAGCTATGTATATATGATGCATAGCTGCGCTTTTCTAAATTACAGAAAATGTTTAAAAAAACATACAAAAATGTTTTATAATGCTTTAGGTATTTTATTAGATAAAGATTGTGTTAGATTATCTGTTGGATTACGTATAAGCATGACTATGATAAATGAAATGTGTGGTCTTGATAAGAAAGTTAAATCCATAAGAGTTATTGTTCTTGCATTATGTGATAGGCTCTAAATTTTAGGTTTTCTATATGTTTTCCTTACCGTTGAAGAGGCAGTCTGGCTATCAATGAAATTTCTCCTTTGATTTCTGGCGAGTTTTTTCAATCCTTCTCAAACAGCAGCTTAGACAAAATATAACTGAAGCAGAAGTTGTCTTCTTAAAGTGCTAGTAATATTGGCTTTTGAATTTTGACATCAACACAAGACGAGTACTTTTCTGTAGGGGACACAAATTTTCATGATTTTTCATTATATTTGGGATAAAGAGCCATAATTGCAGAAATTTAGTGTCACTCACAATATGCAACAAAAAATTGTTTTAACAATTACAAGAAATACCATTTACATTGAAAATAAGAGAGCAAATTATTTTAATTCCTTATAACAACTCCCCGGAAAAAAATATGTTTACTTTGACGTTATTCAAATTGGTCAACTATTTCAAGTGTCTCTATAAGCTAAAAGAAAAATGTGCACTGCAGATGTTACTTTCCGTTCATAGATAAGATACTACAAAGCAAAATGGAGTATTGTCTATAAGCAATTTTTGTTCAATTTTTCTAGTTCATTTTAATATGGTTCACCCCATTTTTACTTAACATAACATGAACTTTCTAAAGTACATCATATTCAAACAAGGCCAGTTTCTAAGGTAATTATCTTTATTTATCTCATTTCACATGATTTCAATTTCTCATTTTCGTTTTTAATAAATTGAGCTCATTTCAGCGTATTCACTCTCTTTCCTCTCTCAAAAATGAAGAAAATAAGGACAAAGAAGACATATAAATGGTTGCAACCCCCCTCCCCCCCTAAACATTTTCCGAGCAAAATTTACGACTTACATTTTGCATGATATACATTATATTCTGTTAACAACATATGTCAGTCGTAGAGAGAAGTTTGAATCGTATAATTATATAAGTTCTGAATTGAATAAAATTTATGAGCATTTTGACAGAACTATCAATATAAAAAAGTCTAAAGAACTAAATAGAGGAATGCAACTTTGCAGTAATGAAAAGATTTTACTTCTTCAAATATTTTGTTTCAGACAATTAAAAGGCATTTGCCATCTGTTGAAAAATATTCTTGCAATATTGAATGATCGTAACAGAGCAAACAAAAGACGAGAAATGTATCATTTGCTCTGCATATATTTCTTGCTCTTTAGAATGAGTTCTGTATTGATGTTTGATGATGATTTGCCATATTTCAATTATGTACCTCTCTTTATCATTTCCCTCAATCCTAAAGTTTTGGTTTGCAACATTTTTCTTCCTCAATATTGTTTCAGTTTTGGCCTCTGGTACGTAAGAGTCCATTTAAAAAACAACCATAAGTGCAAACACCCCAAATGTCATTTCTAAAATACAATATTAAAATCAAAAGAAAATAGCAATTTATCCATTTGTTCAAATATTATATAAAATATTCTATAACGACATAGAACATACTATATCTTACTGTGTCTTTGATATTTGAAACTTTACGGTCTAACGAATTAGTTGAATTACATAAAAAATACATCTGTCACGCTTTTTAGTTCATAAGTAGCTACAGAACCCAACAAATAAGTAAACTATTTTTGCTATGTGGGGAAGGCTTTCTTTTCTTCATCAAATTCTGACTAATTATCAAATAATTGATCACAATAATGGCATAACAATCTTAAGAAAAGACATTGTATAAACTTACGAAATTTTATAAATGGCAAAATTAGATGTAGTAGTTTTTTGCTTAACAATTTTTAATTACTTCTCAAACCCTCCTCAAAGTGCTAATTGATTCATTCTATCCAAATATACTCACTTAGTTAAAGAGGTTTGCCAGCTGGCATTTTGACATGTGCTACTTTGCCCTTTATGTATATTATTTGACGAACAACACTTAGCTTGTTGGAGATTGTGAATGCCAACACGATTTGTACTGTTGAACTGAAGGCGCCTAAAACCAGTTATGAATTTGTTGTTGGACCCACAATTGACCATCCTTTTTCGTTAAATGATTTCTGCCAACCTGCGTTTATGCCAGACTGTGGTTTACCAACGTCTAAAATGAAAAGTTCTTTAATCAAATAAACTGATGTTTTATTCACGTATACTTTCTTTGAGTTTGTTGTAAAGAAAACAATCATCTTCTCCTTATATCTTCCTTATTAATATGCATGCACTTAAAGCTAATTTTTTAATGAAAATCGTTCTTTTTTCAAAATAAAAGTACAACAATGAGAACACGCTCAATAAGGGAATTTTTAAATTTGCTTTCATACATGACAATCTTTAAGAAAGTCAAAACCATCCCCCGATATTTCTACAAAAATATTTTAGAAAATTTTCTGTAAGAACTTGGAGTCTCGCTGATTTTATTACATCAAATCCTGGCAAAGTAATTATTTTGCATGGAACGTATTTTATTTACAGATTAATGCAAGGAATGAGGTACTGTATATTTCGAACGTGCATGAATATGTGTGTTGAACATGTTGGCACCTTTCTAACAATTTTGCATTTGTCAACTCAAGTCACAGAGAATGGTCTTGCTAAATTTAATATTTTAGGGAAAAAACCGAAAAATTACAAAATCATGATCGCATATGAAATATTCTCGCGCATTTAAATATTACGACATTTTTGTTACTGTCATTGTAAATTGTCTTTAGGTATAAGAAGTTTGAACAGGATCGCATTGATAGAGAAAATGAATTTCGATTAAAACAAATTCAGCTTGAAAATGAGAGAAGAAGAGAGGAACGGGCACATGAGCTAAATATGATGCGTATCATGTTATCATCACCAGCTCAACAGCCTTCTGCTCCGATAAATGGTTACCAACAACATAATTATCATATTGGGTACAGTGTTGATCAATTTGGTTCACAAGTATATCCACGTGACAGCAGCGTTCAAAGTGATTCAAACACAGAAAACACCTTTTTGCAATTATAATACTTTGTTATCATTTAAACTGCTGATATTTCTTCATTATATTCGTTTTCTTTACCTGCTTTTCACTGAAAAGGTGGACATGTTTTAAATATTTCAGTAACTGCTTTTTAACAGGTTATGTCAGTCGTTTAACGGCACGATAACAAAATGCAGGGTCTTTACAACTTACAAGTGTCTTTCAAATTTAATTTTATTTGTTATTTCAATATTAATCTCATTCAAATGATTTTGGTAGCAA